GATGTTATACAAGTTAGCGGTGAGCGCTTATCTTATCTACGTAAAGGCCGGCGTTGAAGCCGAGGAAGTAAGGTTTGAGTATATGTATTTTATTTTTACAAAAATGACTCCATCTATTACACACTTTTACCACACACAACAGTTTTCTGTGCGTCTACCACATTTTACGACAAATTATTTCGACTGCTGCAGGGTAGACAACACACTAACCGTACTCTATTAGGTGTTGCGTTTATTTCTATAGCATTGCATTGACCGTCTGTAGTATATGTTGTCTGTGGTTCTATATACAAGGTGACCATTTTGTCTGGAACACTGGATATATCTTCAAAACCAGATTTTTTAAGGAAACTTTTTATGGTAGGCATCTCCTGCATATAAAACTCATACAGGATGTTTTTTTAAGATGGGCCATACGACAATGTAAAGGCGTTGAGTTATTTAAAATGGGCCATAGGGAAATTTACATTGCATTGTTACTTACAGTCATATCTTCCTCGCGAATCATCTGCCGCAGTACTGTAGGAATTTTTTCTAAATCAACAAATTTATTCAAATCAGATATAAACGTATAAAATTACAATCGGTGCTCGAATTGGGTTTTCCGCGTTTTTTCAAAAACCTTGAAAATGAACTCCAGGCACATAAAAAAAATTAGTGGTACTCATTTTTTGTCAAGAGAAATCGTTGTGATTAGCAAACACGATTTTAAAATGAACGGCGTTTGAAAAGTTTCGAATGACCGCCACGCTACGCACGTTATTGCTTACAATCGATTCAGAGAAAGAAAACGTCGTTTTGACGGAAAAAAGCGTCGAATAATTATTGCATTTGTACCTGAGGTGATAGCAGAAGTCATCGCGAACCTAATAAATTGTATATAAACGTCCCAACAGGAAATATACGAAAAAAGTTCGACGTGATACCGCGAGTTTGACATCCCATTTGTATTGTTGTGAAGACGATTCTAATTAATTAAAGTACATAATGTCGATTTACTTTCAGTCAGTTATCGACGAAAATCCATCGATATATAATATTGTAATTGTAATTCAGAATATGATTTACTTCGAACTCTGTTCTGGGCATATCTGTGCCCTTACAGCGCACACATTTTTCTCTATTTTCACTTCCACATATCCAACACCCGAATTTTCTCGTTGAAATTCGTAAGGTGCATACTGTATTAGGTACCTACACTATACCTTGCACTATACACACATAACTTGATATTATACTTCCTATGAACCATAGATTTGCTTCTGGGCTTTGACTCCACTCAAACGAGTGGCATGGAAAAACTCACTTTTCGAGAAAAAGGCGGCGACCATTAACACTTCAACCTTTGGCAGACATCTAACTGCCCCTTTACGAACCAGTCAGAACTCAGTTTATGGCAGATTGCCATAATAAGTCGAATCGAACTCCTATCAGTGTCATGCTTGCACTAATATAACTTCGAACTCCCGATCGGTAACCCGCGTAGTGACGTAAGCGACGCTCGGCCAATATCGGCCTGTCGTCGGTTGCATGACAAAATTTGAAAGTTTTACGATATTATAGTTGTTTATTGACATGCTGCAACTAGGAAAAAAAGTTTTGTATATGAGATGTTTAATTAGGTACAGGTTATAAACTTTACAGTAAGACACAAAAAAGTTACAATATTTTTTTTCAGGAAGACCCTACTCGGCACTGAATAGCCCGCATTCCCACTCAGTTACTGTGCTCACTCTTGTACAAATTGTACTACATGAACACCTTTTCGAGCGGCGGAATACCTGCTGCTGTTTCGTTGATGCAGTTTGAAGGATCAGATTGAGTTAAATAACTAAGCGCTAGGCCAAGATTTGAGAACAATTGGCGCAATGTAAATTTCCCTATGGCCCATTTTAAATAACTCAACGCCTTTACAGTTTCGTATGCCCCATCTTAAAAAAAACACCCTGTATGTTCAATTCTAAAATTTACACGTCAATGAATTGATATGCCTGACAGTTATGCAACCCACCTTACACAAATTCAACCGTGTATAAACAAAAGAAAGTTTACATATTCGGCCCATTTGTATAGCAGATTCGACTTATCTATGAAACTATACTAAAGTGGTTTTATAGTATTTCTTCAGTTATTGAAATTTTTCTCATTTGCTGTAAATTAAATACGGACATGCGTGAACTTTCAAATTTTCATTCCTTCTGAACAATTTAATGATGTGAATTGTGTCAATCGACGAAATTGGCGGATCAGGATATTTAGCCGCCAGTATGATTATTGAAATACATGTAACATTTCCACTTTTTCATCTTTTGCATACATTTTATTAATGATAGGTACAATAATCTTAGTTTAATAACTAATGCAGATAATGACATTTAATTATTGAAAAGGTAATTCAAATTGTTTGTTAGATGAAAGTAGGTAAGATTGGTTGCATATTTTGACCTGTACATTTTAGAATTGAATTGAGTTTTATCAAACGTATACTCTTTGGTTTTATGTACAGAAGATTTGTATGTTCAGAGTTAAAATGTACGCACTGCACATCTAAGTTTTTTATGCTATATCCAAAAAACTACACTCTTTAATAATTTATAGTAACAGGCGACCAAAAATGAGTTGCTGTCGAGTCGCCTTTGAAAGTTCAAGTTAAGCTTAAGTACGATTTCCCATAGACACAAAAATTTCAAAGGTGACTCGACAGCAACTCATTTTTGATCGCATAGTATATAGTTGCCATTAAAAAAATATATGCCCCCCTTGAGGAAAGATATGGCCAATAGGATATAATATGCTATGCCCTTTGCAATTTTGTAAAATATTTTTCAACATTCTTTCTGAAAGATGGCGTACCTAACCTAAACGGGGGAAAAATTGAAAAGAAAATTCTAATTTTGAAAATGCTGTGATGATCTTAGCCTCCTACTATCTTGGCGGGCTAACGCCAACTTCAAGTCACACCGGAATATTTGACCATGTTATGTAGTATTGGGAATGCCAAACTAACATGGCTGCCTATTTGAATACCTTACGAATTAGGAAAACTGCAGGAAAACCTAATTCGGAGTAGTCCTATAATGAACAACATCTAATGTACAGCACCTTTGAGCTCTCTAGAAGCCGGGGTAACTACTACAAACACGCTATAAGTAACCAAATAAAATGGGATCGAGCCATTCCCCAGGTATTACAACACATACATAGGACAAAACTAAGAAATGTCAAATTTACCTCGCCGGGCGGGAGGAGTACCCAGGCCCAGTGGGGACCCTGTAAACCTGGGCTAAAGTTGTTGGGTTCGGAACGAGTGAAAATGTTAGTGTTAGATTCACCAAGGCCGTATAAACTTGAATAACTCGATCCCCTCTAAACAAGCACACTTCCCTCTTGATTACTCACAGTCCCAAATAAGCATATATAATGAAATGCAACAAAATAATCGAGAGTGACTAAAAAGCACAATACACAAATTAAATATGTACACATGCAAGTATGTACAGCACAGATACAGCTCTACCGACAATGAAACATGATTGCCAATATCAACAAAGGTTACACATTAAAGGTACAAGTGATTGAATTCAGTAAGTACATATAAGTAAAGGGTTACAATCTGCATTCAAGTTACACACATTTATAGATTAATTGAATAAAGCAAATACCTCACCTGATATAACAAAGCAAAAGTACACAGCAATGATGATTAAGGTATTTCAGGACAAGCCGTACTTTACACTTCAGCCGGTTACAAGAAAAAAAGCCTGAACACACATGTTAAATCCTATTTATTTGACCAACCCAAGCCGCGCGGTAATTTGATCTGCTAATACCCCTAAACCACTCCAAAATCGCCCATTCCCTGCATTTCTCGCATTTCTATATAGGAAAAAACTGGACGGCAGGTGTTTGAAATGATAAACACAGACATGATAAACATATGTGGTCTTCCAAGAAATTCCATCCGTCTCATCAATTCGCTCTCTTTCCCTTTTCTGTAATCCCACCAGATTTCGGTTGGCAGCTTGTGTAACTAACATGATGTATAGGGTGCTTCGTATCGACCATCATATTCACAGGACGTTGCTAAGGTTGGGGCATCTCAATGCCGAATCTGCAATTATTTTTTTAAAATGTGAATAACTAATACACTATAAAGTGAATATTTCCACGGCAATTTTTTAAAACAAGCAAAAAGACTTTCGCACTAAAGCGAGTAACTGCAGCGCATTTTCCATGAATTGATCAGTATACTTCCCAAAGTGCGATGTGTTTGCCTTTGCTAATGGCATTTCTGATTTTTAATTGCTACATGTGATACGTTTTTCTCTACTAGAAGCATCTATGGTTAAAATTTCAATGAAATATCTTCACAAATAAGGAAGTTGGCACTGACTGTGCATGCGCACATCTAAGTTTGCCTTTAACAGAAGCATCTGTGTCCTGTGATTAAAGATGTGGATAAATAAGACATTGATATTGCGCATGCGCACCTTAATCTGACATATGCTACCGAATTTTCGTTTGATTTGCTCATTTGTGAAATTTAATTAAAAAAATTTTTCTTTAATGCTCCCACCTGCCAGCGCCTTTTTTGGCATTGACGCTGTTGCCTTGAGATTCTGTTCACATCCAATCAAGATTCTGGCAATCAGGTCTTTGAATTGCATCCCCAGCTAGTACACTAAATTTGTAAGATTCACCCCCAAAAAGTCTAAGATCTGATTGATAGCATGCAACATCCTCTGAATAAATGCATAGAAAATGTCGAAGGTACAACTAATTATTGACATTCATACATTTTAATCATTTACAGCAAATAACTTTTAAAGTTAGCCAATATTCTCTCATTTGCTTTGTAAATTAAATGTACTGTTACATTATTCACTGCAACCACAAGCAGTACAAAATACAAATTCTATTTATAAGTAAACGATTTTCAAACCAATCAGCAATATTTGACAACGAAACATATAATATGATTTTTATTTCGCAAATCACAATTATTATAAATACTCATTCTCATTTATTAAGTGTTCATTTGCACAACCATACCGTATGAAATAATAATCTTAACACATCCCACTAGGACAGTCGATAACTATAAATATACAACATGTATAACATTAATGTAGATGTACAATGAATAGACTAATGAGGATTTAAAATGTATTAGTATAAAAAAATGGAGTCTATGTTTTTGTACAAAAATGAAGTCTCACAAATGTATACAAATATTCGCTATCTTTATATCTATTCAACAAAGTCCCTTATAACTCAGATACGAAGATAAAAACATTTGCTCAACAAATCACATTGGTCATGAAAGTACATCCTTCCACAATTGAATAGACAAAACTGCAATTTATAAATATATAATCAAAAACAAAAATTAAAATAGCAATGAACCCATTCCACCCATTTCACTCTGTTCTTTAACGAAAATTTCAAAGTACTGATATATAATGGTCACAGCCAAAAGGATACCAGTACCGGATCCAATTGCCCCAAGGAAATCGGCAAGGACCGAGAGAGCACCAATACACAGTCCACCAAAGGCAGCTGCTGTTGGGATATATCTGTTCAATTCGTGAATCATAGAATTATCTCTATGACCACGCATGATCATTTCCTGCTCCTTCAGTTGTTTTGCTACATCCTTGGCGGAGCTGCCGGAAACTTCAATCCACGTCTTGGAGAAGAATGCGCATGATCCCAACATGAAGATTATGTACATAACTGCGTGTACGGGATCTTCCAGTATGTGCCCTACACTCTCTGGGGGACTGAGATAGTAACACAACCCCCCTATGGGATACGAACGGGCAGGACCGCCACCACCTACATCGGCCCACACACCCAGCATATTGACCAGGAAGTTACCGTGGAACTTCACTGCTAACATTTGTGAAATGACGTACAAATTGGAAACGAGAGCAGATTGTAGAATAATTGGAATGTTTGAAGTGTAAAACAGTTTAATGGGATAGCTTGAGTATTGTCCGCGGTATCTTGCGCTCTTGATGGGTAGGTCCACTCTGAATCCTTGGAAGTAAATTACTATCGCAAATACGAGAATTGTGGCAAGCAGATTCATCAAGTTGGGTAGATTTTGACGGTAGAAGGCTTCACGGAGTGCACGAACTTTATCTTGACGTGTCGTAATGAGATGGAATAGGGCGATGACGGCTCCCTCGAATTCTGTTCCTCTTCCGGTGTTGACGGTTGCAGGTGAGAAGGCCTTCCAGATAATTGTCTCGCAAATATTTGTTGCAATGAAGAGTGAAATACCGGACCCAAGACCGTATCCTTTTTGTAGCAATTCGTCCAGTAACAACACAATCAATCCGGCGACAAACAGTTGAATGATAATAAGCAGGCAGACACCAGCTCCAATTTCGGCGGGGTCCCCGTACATGCCCGTCATTACGTAGACGATAGCTTGCCCGACTGTTATCACCATGCCAAATACTAAAAATCCAAAGCATAAGCAACGAAAGTTGCAAATAAGCGAGGCTTACATTTCTGTGCACCGTTAAACAGAGCTCGGTCCTTCGGCGTATCACCAACCTCAATAATTTTCGCACCGGCTAGCAGTTGCATGATGAGGCCCGATGTAACGATCGGAGAAATACCAAGCTCCATAAGTGTACCTCTGTTTGAGGCGAGGATGACACGAATCCAGTAGAATGGATCGGCCGAATCTGAACTCATAATTCCAAATAGAGGAATCTAAAAGGAGTATGGTTAGTTTTGTAAATGAAAGCGCAAATGAATTAACTTACTTGACAGCATACTAAGAAAATAAATAGCGTAATGGCAGTCCATAGTACTTTCTCTCTAAATTGAATCTGTAAAAGAGCTTCAGGTTAGAATCTGGGGCACATATTGTAGTCAAAAAACATATGATTGAGTAAAGAGTGAACTTACCTTTCGTTCTGGCTTTGCTATTTCGGGCAGTATACTGCAGAACGGCTTAATAACTTCCAAAAACTTTACTAAAAGAAACAACACGAATTAGGTACATGTGGGGCACGTACGTTGCGGCGTAAAGGAAGCATGAGGTTAAGTATATTTGTTAAATATGAAAGAGCAATAGAGGTTAATAGCAATTACATGAATGAAAGTACTTACTCCCCATGTTGGTTGGGTTGTAAAATTGAACAGAAAATGCACAAAGTGCTTTATACGCACTTCACTTGCAACCGTTATGTAAAATGTGTGGCCCTTCGTGTCACAAACTGTACGGTACTTTCGAAGATTTGGCAGACGAGGCGAACACGTAGCAGCAAAGCCGGTCACGTGACCGATGATGTTGGCCGGTCGGTGTGCGGATCTGATTGTAGAGGGCGTGTAAAGAGAAACCCGCTAAATCTCATTATTTAAATCTGGGAAATAAGACGTACCTATTTATGAAAGCTAATCTTATCTTTCTAGCGGAGCGATTGCGATATGATATTTTACGTTTCGTTGTGAGATTGATACGTGCTTTTCAAGTGCGCCTAGGAAAATGTGGAGATATTATTTTCCTCATGTGCTATAGGTACTTCAGTAGCGGCGCGTATATTTATTTCACTAACGAGCCCCTTATTCTGATATGTCTGTGACGAGCCCACACTCGGCACCCAAGCGTGACCCGACAAACGACTCCTGTGGGAGAGTTCAGTTGTATAAAATCTTGTTATATCGTGTATAAGATATAATAAATATATAGTTTTCAACATATTTAGTTCGTTCTTTTTGAATCCGCTAGATTATAGATGTGGCATCTGAACCAAGAAAAATCTTGACGATTAATGTACGCATGCTCAGACTGCCCATTGCCAACTTCTTTTATTGAGATATTTTTCGCGCATTTTCCAACGAAGGTGGGTGCGCTATTGGAGCCACTTTCTCTGTCCGTCCGTCTGTCCGAGGCCTTAACTACTCCTACAGTTTTCAAGATATTAATTTCGTTCTTTTTGCATTCGGTAGCGTAATAGCTCTAGCACCTGAGCCAAGGAAAAGCTTGACAATTAAACTGCGCGTGCGCAATGTCAACTTCCTTATTTATTAATATATTTTGTAAAAATTTTAACCACAGATTCTTCTGGTGGAGGTAAATATATTGCATATAGCAAAAATCAGTTGTGCGCATACGCAGACTGCGCAATGGCAACTTCCTTATTTTTTTTTAAATTTTACCCACAGATGCTCCTAGTAAAGCTAAACATATCGCATATTGTAAACACCGGGTGTGCACAGGCGCAGGCTGCGCAAGGCTAACCTTCTTATTTGAATTTTTTTAAATTTTAACCACGGATGCTTTTTATCTTAGACTATACGCTGTACACGGACTTTTTAACTAAAATATGGTCAAGGAAATCACCTGGGTATGTGAGTTTCAGGGTACACTTGTCTGTTTGAAGTTGTCAGATGAGACACGATTTGGGACTGTCAACCTCTAAAGTAACAAACGTCAATATCGCCTGGATATGCCAAAAAAGCAAACATATTATTTTTCTTTGGAGAGACCCGTGCGAGTATCTACTGTCTGGAACACATCGTCTGTAAAACTATAGCTATGAACATGGTTTTTCGTCGGAATAAACGATTTTTGCTATTTTTTTTATCATCAGATATGATAGGTATCTACTTAACTTTGGTGATTAATAAAATCGTACGACTACCGCAGGGTTAATTCTAATAGAACCTCTCATCAAACGGGAAAATACTGTATTCAAAAAAGTAGTACCTAAGTTCCGAAGAACGTTTGGCGGCAACTCTGAGATTTCCTCCCGATCACTTTATTATCTTCAAAGACATTTTTAATTTACCTACTCTTATTTGCACAAGTTTAACTGCTGTACGCTGCAGCAACTTTATACTGTTTTTCGTCTATTTTGCTGTAATTTACAACATGAGGTATTGCATTATTTCAATAAAAATGAGTTTCCACTGGAAATGTTCATGATTTATGTCTTTTCCATATGTTATTACATTCAAATCTAATGGAAAAATGGCGGCCGTCGCGGTCATGGCCACACTGTCACTATAAAGTCACCGTATCGGGCCTTTATTCTTGAGTTTATAGGAATAGCATTAGTGAGGTGAGAGAAAGGGAGTGGATTTCTCTCGTAAAACCAGAATAGCTTAAAATAACCTATTCTTGATTGGTTTTACGAGAGAACTCCGCCCTCTTTCTCTCACTAAGTCTGTTCCTATGAACTCAAGAATAAGGGCCCTGGCTAACCGATCTGCTAAAGAAGGCAAGCTTTACGGCAGGTTACTCCTACATTGGAAGCGGAATCGATCTGACCACCAGACCCGACCCGGTCAGACTAGTCCAGACTCGGCGCTCCTACATTGCAGCTATAGTTTTCATAAAAGCTTCCATGCAACTGGAAGAAAAACAAACTTGTTTGATTGTTGTTCAGACCCGACTCTCCTCCTCGGAACGTGCATTGGCTTCAGTGTAGGAGGCTCGACGGTGCGTCACGTGTTTGTTTTCTTCAGACCCGACCAGACGGGCCGTCTGTCTGGTCGGGAGAAATTCCGCTTCCAATCTAGGACCGGCCTAAGCAGTAGACTTATTGGAGATCAAGTGAAAGGTGGAAGTATATGCTTTTATTTTTCATTTGCCTATTATATGTCAATTATATCTGTCATATGTGATATATGAAGCAGTCTATTACGCCCAAGGGCATAATGAGAGGGCATAATGGATTGTCATCTCCTTATGCCCTCAAACGGCCTGTCAAATTGATTGACGGAGTTATATTATGTCATAAAAAAGATGCAACTTGATTCGTATGAAGCATTTTAATGTTGGGCAAACAATAATCATGACATTTGTATATTGAAAATGCATTTTTTGGAACGATGAAAAATAAAATGTTGTATGCTCCTCAGGCATTACACAATATTTAACTCTCGGGCGACTAACAGGCCCCCCTCGGGCTCGGGCTCTGTTGCCCTCGGCATAAATATCGCCTTAATGCCATTGATGCATAAATAACTATTTTTTCTTTTTCTGAGTAAACTGTGTAAAATTTCTTGTTGAATAAAAGGTTTCCATTATGTTTCCTTATACATATTTGTTAAGTTTAATATGGTTGAGTCGCAGTGGCAGATTGAAACAATTGAACCTTGATAGACAGCTATAGAATAGAACAATTAGTCGACACCATATGCCCAATACTATTACTTACTAATGGCTAGTCAAGAGTAAAGAACAATTTGGATTTAGGTTCTACATACTTTCTACTTTCGAAGTTAACCTTGTCCCGAGGGTTGCTTTTATCCTGGGAGTATACTTTCATTCACAGGTGTTGAAAGTGTTGTCATACTCACCTTGATTTTGTAACGCGAACCCGCTGACGTAGGCATTTTATTTAATTGGAATTTACTTAATTTTTTTTCGAAATTTTTTGCGGTTGCATAGTTTTTTAAAATTAATTCATGTACGATCTGAGGTTCTTGTCAAGTTTCTTAAAAAAATTTGAATTAAGGTCACGAAAATTTTTCATATCTAACACTTCATGCGCAAATGGTGATGTCGAGTAGGTTTAATGGCGACATCCAGACGGGTCTTGATAGTATTCGCTATTGATACTAAATCTTTTTGATATAAGAATTCACACCATTCGTCTCATTGCGCTGGTTCCGTTTCGTATTTTCTAGCCGGCACAGCTTCCATAAATAGGGATAGTTGATTTCGTTTGGTTAGAGAACGCGGCGGAGGGACACAACAGCCTAATCGTGCAAGAATCCATAACGAACTTATTTTCCATTTTTCAAAAAAATTGTCCGATAGGTATTCTCGCACGACTAGGGCGTTCTGCACGGGTGCACCATCCTGTTCAAACCAACAGTTTTCAACTGTAGTTTTTTTGTGCTGTGTATATCGTTGTATTCGTCATAAAAAATGCCATACAGTGTGTACCTACTTTTTTACGGGCCATATAAAAGAATAAAGTTGATAATGATTTCTCCGAAACGAAACGTTGTATTAAAAATCTCCCAGCGGTGTAGGGCTCAAAAAGTAACAATGGGTAATAGACAAATTTCGGTCTTTCTGACATTTGTTTTGCCTCTTTAATTAATTTTAGTCATTATTCCTGTTATTACACATGCCGCAACGGTACACAGAAGGTGCACAAGGTCTTATTTTGAAGATGACCAGGTACATACTAACACTTTATTGTTTGTAATGGGGTCCGAGCTGAACATTGTCGGGAGTCGGGACACATCTTGGAAATATGTAGATCGGTTCATGCTACGTTTGTGCCGGTGTGTGTTTTCCAGGATCATGTATACATTACAAACGGTATCCTTTGGAAATTAGATGTTCGACCAACTTTGCACACTTTTGTCGTCACAAATCTCGTGACTCGTTCGTAGGTGCAGAGTTGGTTCTCTTTTGCACCAACAGGAATAAAAATCCAGAGAGTTCTGCACCGCAAAAGAATGGTAGTAAGTAGGTATGATTCAAAGCAAACAGCAGCAAACCACGCCATGTACATACTGAGGTTTTTATTGTCAGCTACATTACCTAGAGGAAGTTTGTACTTTAAAGTTATTTATTTTCATTTAACATTCACTAATTGAATTTAATACACAATAATTTGCACGTAGTCTTTATAAGTCCCGAAACTTGAATGTGGTTTAATTGATTAATTAAAATCTTTGCGAAATTGTTTCCCAGCAACGTTAATTATTATTAATTAAAATTAAGCCGCGCGAAATTATGCGTCCGGATAACGTCAATTATTTGTAATTGGAATCAAGTTTGTCCAAATATGTGAGTAGCTAACGTAAATTATATTCAATATAGCTGAAAGGATTAATTATTTCCTTTTGCTTGCCTCTTTTGTATTTTACTTTATTTTTGAAACATGTCATGAAGTTAAGGTTGTATATAATATTTCATGAACATAAAGAGTATTTCAGAGAAATTTGTGCTGGTTTAAGGTAGTTGTAAACGGTTTAGTGCAGCTGTATTTGAGGCTAGATTTGAGGTTTAAAATTTAGTTCTAAACCGAAGGTCATTTCAGCTCCTTACACCAATTCGCGTTTCCGTAGCTAATTGGTCCTGTGTACTGCCACTTACTTACCCGTCAGTCGACGCATCCGATGATATCGGGTAATAAATATAAAATGGCATACACAGCTAATAAAAGCTGGTCCAAAAGACGGAGTGTCGTGAGCGGTTTGGGCCGTTGGGTTAGGGTGCAGAGGTAATGCAAGTAGAGCATGCTTAGTGGGAACCCAACTAATTAAGCATTGGCATTGAATAATTGAATAATTTTTTTTCAATGGCTTAGA